GTAGATTGCCCAACCTTCCTTACAAGGAGTGGCTGGTGGGTTTGAACCACCAGCCTTCTGGTTAGCAGTCAGATAGATGCCTTAGGCACTACACCGCCAGAGCTCCCACACAGAGTGTAACTAAAGCAAATGGAAGAAATGATGAAAGAAAACAACTGAACAGAAGATTTCAAAGCGTGGCTCAAGAAGACAGTAAAGTGTTATAATGAAATGTGCAAAGATCTGGAGTTAGAAAAACGAAAGAGATGAACACAACATGCTCATCATTTCTCAAGGTGAAAATAATTGAAGAAAAAATGCAAGCTTTTGAGTTGCATTATTAAGGGATTCTATGGGCAAACTACTGAACAATGCAGAAAGCACCAAAAGAAGTTGGGAGAAATACACAGAGTCACTGTACTTAAAAGAATTGGTCAATGTTCAACTATTTCTGGAGGTAGCGTATGATCAGGAACAATGGTATCAAAGGAAGAAGTCCAAGCTGCACTCAAGGGATTGGCAAAAAACAAACTTTGAGGAATTGACATAATGAATACCCACTGAGATGTTTCAACAAACAGATGCAGCACTGGAGGTGCTTACTGCTTTATGGCAAGAAATTTAGTAGACAGCTACCTGGCCAGCTGACTGGAAGAGATCTACGTTTGTGTCCATTCCAAATAAAAGTGATCCAGCAGAATGTGGAAATTACCAAACAATTATCATTACTATCATATGCAAGTAAGATTTTGCTGAACATAATTTAAAAATAGTTGCAGGAGTATATTGACAGAACTTCCCAGGAATTAAAGCTGGATTCAGAAGTGGACATAGGAGGGATGCCATTGTTGATGTCACATGGATCTTGGTTGGCCGCAAAGAATACCAGAAAGATGTTTATCTGTGTTTATTAACTATGCAAAGGCATTTGACTACGTGGATCCTAACAAATTATGGATAACACTGCAATAAATGGGAATTCCAGAAATACTTCATTGTTCTCATGAGAAACCTGTACATAGACCAAGAAGTTGTCATTCAAACAGAAGTGTCAAGAGGACACTGCATGGTTAAAATCAGAAAGGGTATGTGTCAGGGTTATATCTTTTCACCATACTTACTCAGTCTGCATGCTGAGCAAATAATCTGAGAAGTTGGACTAGATGAAGAAGAATCATTAACAACCTGTGATATGCAGAGGACACAACCTTGCTAGATGAAAGTGAAGATGGGATAAAGATCAAAGAATACAGTCTTCAGTATATGGATTATACTTCAACAAAGAAAAGGATGCAATGATGGGCTCAAGTATAGCAGGGATTGTGGGGCTGGAGCGGGATCAGGCAGTGTTTTGTTCTGCTGTGCATGGGGTCGCTATGAGTCGGAAATGACTCGACGGCACTTAACAACAACAACAACAAAGAAAAGGAAAATCCTTACCTGGACCAATAAACAGCATCATGATAAACGGGGAAGAGATTGAAGTTGTCAGGAATGTCATTTTACTTGGATCCACAATCAACACCCATGGAAGCTGCAATGAAGAAATCAGATGTTGTATTGCACTGGGCAGATCTGCTGCAAAAGACTCTTCCGAGTGTTAAGCAAAGATGTCACGGAAGATTAAGGTGCATTTGACCCAAGCCATGGTATTTTCAGTCTCATATGCATGTGAAAGCTGGACAATGAATAAGGACAACCAAAGAAGAGTTGATGCCTTTGAATTATGGTGTTGGTGAAAAGTATTGAAATACCATGGATGCCAGAAGAACAAACAGATCTGTCCTGGAAGAAGTGCTGCTGCAGTGCTTCTTGGAAGCAAGAATGTCCAGACTTCATCTCATCTATTTTGGTCCTGTATCAGAAAGGACCATATACTGGACAAGGATATCATGCTTGGTAAAGTAGAGGGTCAGCGAAGAAGAGGAAGACCCTCAAAAGATGGATTGACACAGTGGCTGCAACGATGTACCTCAAGCATAGCAAGAAGTGTGAGAATGGTGCAGGACCAGGCAGTGTTTCATTTGTTGTGCCTGGGGTCACTGTGAGTCAGAGCCAACTCAGTGGCACCGAACAACAACATATAATAAACAAATTTCTCTTAGTGTAGAAAGTAAGTAAAATAAATTAATGTGTAGTCATAAAGCCAAAAGATAAAATCAACTGTTAAGCCTTTTTATGAAAAAGCCAGACATATTATAATATTTTTCTCTGCCCAGGTGTTCTGTCTAGATCACTTAAGATTTTAACATTCAACTTCTGTTTTCATGTTGATGTAGGGACATCATTTTTGCAGGTTATGTTTACTCAATCTAACTAGATTTTCACTATTTAAAATACCCTTTAGATGGATACAATTGCTTTAGTTTTTTTTATTTTATTGTTATGTTTATATGGTGGCAAACAATATTTGCCATTTAAATCATTTTTTAAGTGTACAGTTCAGTGACATTAATTGTATTCATGTTGTGCAGTCTTCACCACTGTCTATTTCTAAATGTAATATCTCCCCATTTCCTTCCCCCTTCAGCCCCCGGTAGTTGTTAGGTACCTTTGAGTCTGTTCTAATTCATAATGACCCTGCATAAAACAGAACAAAACACTGTCAGGTCCTACACTATTCTCAGAATTATTACTGTGTTTGAGCCTGTTGTTGGAGCCACTGTGTAGTCCATCTCATTGAAAGTCTTCCTCTTTTTTTTTTTTTTTTTTTTTTTGCTGACCCTCTTTTATTTTTTTAAACCAAGCATGTCCTAGGATTAGTCACTCCTGATGGACTCACCATCCTTGCCTCTAAGGAGCATTTTGGTTGTCTTCTTTTAAGACAGATTTGTTCGTTCTTCTGGCAGTCCATGTAATCGGTATTCTTCACCTACACCTTAATTCAAAGGCATTGATTCTTTGATCTTCCTTCTTCATTGTCCAGGTTTTGTGTGATAGCAGGTGATTGAAAATACCATGGCTTGGGTCAGGCACACCTTAATGTGACATGGTAACCACTAATAAATGATTGGCACTATGCATCTGCCTATTCCAGATAGTTTATGTGAAATGGTATATTTGTCTTAGATGATGATAAGTTTTCTTTTTCGTTTTTTTTTTTTTAATTTACTTTTATTGTGGTGAAAACATACACACCAAGACATTCACCAGCTTAACATCTTCCACATTTACAGCTCAGCAATGTTAATGACATTTTTCATGTTGTGCCACCATTACTGCTATCCTTTTCCAAAATGTTTTACCATCATTAGCATAAACTCAGTGCCCAGCAAACAAAAGCTTCCCCTTCCCCCTCCCTTCTTCCTCTCAAAACTCCAGTGCTATGGAGTCTATTCTGATGCATAGTAACCCCATTGGGTTTCCAAGGCAATCAATCTTTACAGGAGTAGATTGCCTCATCTTCCTTCCATGGAGCAACTGGTGGGTTTGAACTGCCAACCTCCTGATTAGCAGTCACATGCCTTAGGCATTGTGCCACCAGAGCACCTTTCCTACCCCTGGTAACCAATAACAATTTTTGTTTTATATATATATATATATAAAATGTGTGTGTGTGTACACTTTTTTAACCTATCTAGGAATTTTTCCTCCCCTTCCTTACCATCCCTGATAGCCAACAAAGAAAATTTCATTCCATATATAACCTTTTCCTTGACTTTCATTTTCTCCAACTTAAATGGGGATTTACTATTTTTTTTATTGTGATTTAGATGAAATTATCAAGCATGTATTCTTAGTTATTACAAACAACATTTGGGAATTGTATCATAGGCTGCTATTGTTCATGGATATGAGGAAAGGACTCTATTGTAGGGGTACTCATATAAAAATTTTGAGATAACTTGAAAAGGTAAATAATTCTTTATCTCAAGCCTTGAAAAAACTGTATTTCTGTACTTTATGATATATACTCCAAACTTAAAAATAGGATAAAACTACTTAATTGATGTACTAATAAAATGGCTGAATTGAGTAAGTGAACTTCTGAAGAAGGAGCTTACAGAAACAAATATGTATTTTGTTCATTAAAAGATATATAACATTTAGAATAATATAAACATATACTCTATTAAAATTCTAAATAGTTTTTATTGCACTTCTAAAATAGTACAGTTTACCTTTTTACTGTTATTGTTCTAAAATATTAATATTATTTTAATTTCAAAGTAGTCCTTGTTGTTGTTGTTGTTTTTATGTTTCATTGAGTCGGACCCAAATCATAGTGACCCCTCCTTGGGTTTCTGAGGTAGTATCACTACGGAAGTAGATTGCCTCATCTTCCTTCCGAGGAGTACCTTTGGGCTTGTTTTTAGCTCATATCACAAGCCTTGGGAGAAGGGGTACAGAATGATTTCTTGTCTTATCTACCCAATAACAGATCTCGAGCTTTTGGGCACTTAGGTTAAAATAACTATGGAAACTGGCATCTGGTTGTAGAGCATTACTGTAAGTAGGTCAGTCTCTGATTATAAAACTTTTATTTCTTTGATGACTTTTATTACTTTAGTCAGCCTTTTTTACACATCTTAATTTTTTTTTTTCTACTGCTTTTGGAACCTTAGTATAAACATCAGCTGCAAATACATCAACACCTTGTGTCAGACAATCCAGTATAATTTGGAACATTTTTAACTTTCAGAGCTTGTCTTAAGTATAACCTAATAGTTTTGAGATTAAAAAAATAAGACTAGATCCTTTTTGAAAAATAATAAATTCTTGCTTTAAAACACTTTTTTAGCTCTAAAGGTAATTACTAAATGTATTACCTGTTTATCTTTCTTAACATATTTACCTACTAAATTCTGAACAAAACAAAATGGTTTATTTTTTTAATTAGACATGTACATTCAGGAATCTGAAGTACTTTAAAGATTCACTAATATACTTCTCTGACATTGAAGGCATACTCTTAAAGAGCTACGCTGGTAGCACAAAGAATATTGGTAGCAATGTAAACTTTATTTATAGATAGGTTACATTTATGTTAAATAATATTTTTTTCTTTACTCTTTCTTAAGGAATTGAATGACCTGGCACGGGACCCCCCAGCACAGTGTTCAGCAGGTCCTGTTGGAGATGATAGTAAGTACTTAACAGGAGTGATGGGGAACAACAGAGCAGTCTGCTTTTGAGAAACTGTGAGATAGATGAATATACAACTCTTACGGTTATTTTTCAAGGGAGCTCTGGTGGTCCTATGATTAAAACATTGGACTGCTAACCAGATGTTGCAGTTTGAACCCACCAGCTGCTCCACAGGAAAAAGATGACGCAGTCTGCTTCCATAAAGATTTACAGCGTTAGAAACCCTGTGGGGCAGTTCTGTACTATCCTGTAGGGTCGCCTCTGAGTCAGAATCAACTCAATGGCAGTGGGATTTTGGGGGTTTTTAAGGTTATTTTGTGTGAAGAGACTTTTATGCTGTAGGGAAGAGACAGTGTTTACCCTACTTACCCATGAAAGATGTAGTTCTGTGTGTATCCCATTGTCTTCTGCATTTATTTTTAATCTCTTCCACCAGGTAATTGTCTCTATGTTGTCCTGGCCAATTCCTCCTTGCCCATTATACCTTTGGGTGTTTTCCTGGGGTAAAATATGTGAATTTTTACCTGTTGTACTTTAAATGAAATAATAGTAAATATGATAGAGGGAGGGGTGTCTGTATCTTTCTGCTGGCTCATACTATCAGGCAGGTATAATTTGTTTATTTTTAATGTCCAAATTCATTTGCTTAATCCTGAATAAAATAATTTATTAGATGATCTTACTGTAAAAATGAGATAATAACTTTCCTTTTGTTCCACTTTATTGCCACACAGCTTTTTCCTTGTCTCTTCTAGCTTTAAAAAAGGAAGGATATTGGAATAAGACTCTGCTTTATGACACAAAACTCATTCACAAAAAAATTGTAACCTTTAGCAAACAGAGAAAAGATAAGTATACTTGGAAATGTCTATAAGAGAAGTATATAGTTTTTTGTTTTGTTAATTTTTATTGTGATTTGGGTGAAAGTTTACAAAGAAGTATATGTTTTTGTTTTTTAATTGTGATTTGGGTGAAGATTTACAGAGCTAATTCACTTTCCATACAGCAGTTCACATATACTTTTGTCTCATGTCGTTGACCACAGTTTACCACAATGCAACAGCTCCCCTCCCACTTCCTCCACATAGTTACCTCTTCCCAGTGTCCATCCCTCCATACTCTCCTGCCCCCTGAGCTGTCTCCCTGTGCATAGGCACCCCTTCTTTCTCCCATGATTGTT